AGCAGCAGGAGGAGGAGCGAGATGAGGGTATAGTTCTTGTGGTGTAGGTAGAAATACAACATCTACAACACCCGTTTGTCTCAGCATAGATATATCTTCTGCTGCATCCATAGGATAAGAATCGAAGTCTTCTTGCTGCTGAAATTGTGTTGGGTTTACAAACAAAGAAACCCAAACTTCATCACACATCAATGCAGCTATTTTAATTAGAGACAAATGGCCTTCATGTAGGCCCCCCATAGTCGGTATAAACCCAATACGACGACGGGGGGCAATAGGGGGGCCCCCTGCTGCTGCTGCTGCTGCTTGTTGCTGCTGCTCTGCTGCTGTTGCACTCAGTATAGGTAAAGAAGAGTTGAAACCAGAACGCAACAAACCGCTACGGCTGCGGTGTACAGACACCTCCTGACATGTTCTCAGTATTAACATCTCTCGACCAGAAACCCCATTAGTACAACCACCACCACCACCACCACCAGCTGCTGCTCCTGCTGCTGCTGCTGCTGCTGCTGCTGCTGCTNAGTACAACCACCACCACCACCACCACCAGCTGCTGCTCCTGCTGCTGCTGCTGCTGCTGCTGCTGCTGCTGCTGCTGCTGCTGCTCCAGCAGCAGGAGAGGGAACGCTGTCCGCCTCAGGGGGCGCCATCGCCAAACCCTAGACCAGCGTAAAACTCAAAGTCTAGAGCCTATGGTTTAGGTGTTATACTTTAGGATTTAGGGTTTGGGGTTTAGGGTTTAACGATTAGGGTTTAGGGTTTAGGGTTTAGGGGAGACAGAGGGGGCGCCGAAGCGAGGAGACGGCAGAGCGGCCCTTCCGGCTCCTTCTCCGTGTGTGTAGGAGACAAACAACGCAATTCACTACATTAAATTAAACTAATTAAAATAAATTAATTTAATTATATTGTGTTTAATTATATAAATTAAACCACAAAAAACGGGGGAGAAAAACAGAAGGCATAAGAAACACTGAATGCCGGGGGGCCCCCACGGGGGCCCCCGCCTTCGCGGCGCGCGGTGAGATCGTTTGGGGCCCCACAGTCGCAGCCGCTCTCTTCGTCTTTTTTTTGTTTAACAAACGGCCTTAAACAATTTGTTTTGGTGTTTTTATATTTAATTATTTGAATTATATATTTAAAATGCTGCACAACGGTGTATTGAGGGGGGGGGAGGGGAGGGGTTGACGGGTGTGCAGACAGCGGAGCGAGGTGTATGTACACCCCAATCATAATATATTGTTTTATAGTTTATCTATTTGTTTACGCTGTATAGAGTAATGTATTTTGTATGTAATATTTATATAATATACAATATTTAAAATATAATACTTATATGTTATTGTGGAAATATATATATATATATATATATATATATATATATATATATATATATATATATATATATATATATAT